ATAAAGACATGCATTTTGTCATCATTTTCTCCCAACAAGTGATTCAACATGAGAATCATTATTATTTTGTGCGCAAAAAATGCTTAACGGGCTCCAGAACGCTACTGATTCATTACCAAAATAATAAGTTACTCTAAATTACATTATTACACAGACTAATGCTATTTTTCTACTATTTAAGCTTTGTATGCACACGCGGATGGAAATAAAATCTCATTCGGCACCCACCTTATTTAGTGCGATCCTTGCGTTACTCGTTAGCTCATAAGATGAAAATGTTTACGACTATTTCCAAAATATTGTTGCCATTCAGATCAGCTGAGCCGACAAGTGTATCCGCTCTGTAACAGCGCCTGTCTCACTGACTCTACAGCGGGCTGCCTTCCACTTCAGTCTAGCAGGGTTGGCTCCGCCCACTGTGTAGAACTACGCGCTGATTGGTTCAATTCAATGAGCGCGTGTTATCTTCCTTGGAGTTTGATTGGTGAAAAGTCAAGCCCGTCGTCGTTTCGGACACACCACCTGTTCATGTCGCTCAAGGCGTTTAAAGTTTGAGAGACGCGCTTATAGGTGAGCGTTACTAGGTTATCAGTACTAGCCTAATTTTAAGTTATTTAGCTGGTATCCAAAAAGTTGAGTGTGGAGGTTTTGTTTCAATGTATTATTGGGAAATATCCACTTCATCTAATAAGTTAATGTTTTACTGAGTTGGACACTGCTTAAAAGATTCAGTGAATCATTTAGACTAAATAACGAACCGATTCAGCCCGTTTTTAAAAGTGTTTGAGCAATTCATTCAAAAGAACCGATTCAAAAGAGTTATTCATTCACGAAACGGATATCACTGGTTCTGATTCTAATAAATGACTAAAGAAATTGCGGAACACACGATATGGTAGTTGGCTGCTTATAGAGAAGTTGATTTTCAGTTCGGACCTTAACATTTGTGTGCTAAAAGGTCCCCAGTAGAAGAGTCTTTAACTTTAAAGGAAGTAAAGAAAAGCTAAGTCAAAGAGTGAAAACTAACAGAATTGCTGTGTGGTGCAAAGCAAAATGCAATAAACATTAGTGAGCCAGCGCTGTCAAAGAAAGGAGGTGTATCAAAGTGCCAGAACAATTAGCGGTGCTATCAATACACAATTAGTCCGTGATGGACGTGCTGTCACGTACACCACACATCCATTCATACACCTTGACTACTGAATACCCTAGACTCCCGGGATTACCCGTCTTCAAACAATCGTTCGTCTGAGCTACTTAATAAACTAGTCATTTCAGTACAAATTAGTCTATCACTTAAAAAGATGACACTAGAACCCCATTTCAATGATGTCTAATGTAATGTGCATATTCAACCAAGTTTAACAAATATACAAAATAGTCTACGTTTAAAAAAATAATGCATGAAAACTGTTTTAAATGTTAATTTCTTACAATCAAGCCTTTTTGGGTAACAGCTTTGATTGTTTTGAAAATCTAAACTTATTTTAAGTAACATATAGGCCTAGTATTTCTGTTAGATTAAACAGTACTCAATATGTGTTAACCTATAGTTTGGTTGAATTTGGTTGCCAATTCCAATGAAGGATTTCCTTGCGTAAAACGTTTTGTTTCACTTGTGCGCCATCATGTGGTATTGGAAGGAATGATGTTTTACTGAGTTGGACACTGCTTAAAAGATTCAGTGAATCATTTAGACTAAATAACGAACCGATTCAGCCCGTTTTTAAAAGTGTTTGAGCAATTCATTCAAAAGAACCGATTCATTACCTGTCTTCAAACAATCGTTCGTCTGAGCTACTTAATAAACTAGTCATTTCAGTACAAATTAGTCTATCACTTAAAAAGATGACACTAGAACCCCATTTCAATGATGTCTAATGTAATGTGCATATTCAACCAAGTTTAACAAATATACAAAATAGTCTACGTTTAAAAAAATAATGCATGAAAACTGTTTTAAATGTTAATTTCTTACAATCAAGCCTTTTTGGGTAACAGCTTTGATTGTTTTGAAAATCTAAACTTATTTTAAGTAACATATAGGCCTAGTATTTCTGTTAGATTAAACAGTACTCAATATGTGTTAACCTATAGTTTGGTTGAATTTGGTTGCCAATTCCAATGAAGGATTTCCTTGCGTAAAACGTTTTGATTCACTTGTGCGCCATCATGTGGTATTGGAAGGAATGGGCTCTGATTATTCACCCATTGCTTAACTCATTTAAGCACATACAGGTGCATAAAATAAATAAATTAAATGCACACAGACTGAAGTAGTTTAAGTCTTTGGTTCTTTTAATTGTGATGATTTTGGCTCACATTTAACAAAAACCCACCAATTCACTATCTCAACAAATTAGAATACTTCATAAGACCAATAAAAAAAACATTTTTAGTGAATTGTTGGCCTTCTGGAAAGTATGTTCATTTACTGTACATGTACTCAATACTTGGTAGGGGCTCCTTGTAAGATTCCCATGAACAAGCTCCAGCCAATACAGTAGTAGTAGTAGCAGTAGTAGTAGTAGTAGTAGTAGCAGCAG